TTCACATTAGTCATGTCATAAGGAAAAATTAGAACCAATAGGAAGAACCACAAGAAAGAGGAAACAAAACAAAACAGAAGAAAAAGTAGCAAATATGCTTCGATCTGCATTCAAACTCCATAGTTCTTTCTTTGGATGTGGATGTAAAAGTCTCATTTCTAAAATGTTTAGGGAGCTGAGTCAAATTTACAGGAATGAAAGCCATTCCCCAATTGATAAATGGTCAAAGGATATGAAATAGGCAGTTTTCAGAAGAAGAAACCAAAGCTATCAATAGCCACATGTAAAAATGTTCTAAATCATTAATAATTAGAGAAATGCAAATGAAAACAGCTCTGAATTACAACCTCATACCAAGTAGATTGGTTAAGATGACAAAAAGGAAAATGGCAAATGCTGGAGGAAATTTTGGAAAATAGTGAAAAACTAATGAGCTATCAGTAGAGCTGTGAACTAGTTCATTCATTCTGGGAAGCAATCTGTAACAATACCCAAAAAGCTATTAAACTGTGTATACCCTTTGACTCACTGATACCATTACTAGGTCTGTACCTCAAGGAGATCAAAAACTGAGGGAAGGGACCTATGTGTATGAAAATATTTATAGCAGCTCTTTTTGTGGTGACAAAGAATTGGTACCTGAGGGGATGTCTATCAACTGGGAACAAGTTATGGTATATGAATGTGATGAAATACTCTGGTGCTGTAAGAAATGATAAATGGGATGGTTTCAGAAAAACCTGGGAAGTACTGATGCAAAGTGAAATGAGCAGAACCAGGAGAACAATTATACAGTAATAACAGTATTGTAAATAAAATCAACTCTGAAAGACTTAGGAACTCTGATCAACAGAGTGATTAACCACGATTCCAGAAGACTTATGGTAAAATATGCTGTCTGCCTCCAAATAGAAAGCTGAGGGACTGAGTGCAGATTGCAGGGCATTTTTTCTCTTTATTTCTTTTTCTTGCTTTTTTTTCTTAACATGGCTAATGTGTAACTATATATATATATGTGTGTGTATATATATATATATACATGTATATATGTAATGAGTTTAGTTTTTCTTGCCTTCTCTGTGAGTGGGAGAAGGGAGAGGGTAAGAAAGAATATGGAACTAAAAATATATAAGAAAAAATTGAGTTTAGACTCAAAAAAAAGAAGAGGCCAGGTTATAAAGAGCTTTAAATGCCAAATAGGACTTCGTATTTGATCCTAGATCCTAGAGGTGATAGGAGTCACTAGAGCTCCTTGAGCAGAGGACTGATGTGTTCATAATAACCTTTTAGAAAAATTACCTTGGCAGCTTAGTAGAGGAGGATAGATTGGAGTGATAAGAGACTTAAGGCAGAGAGATCAAGCAGAAGACTATTGTAATAATCCAAGTGAGAGATAATAGTCTAAGCAAGGGTTGGGTGAGTGGAGAAAAGATGACCATAAGACATGGTGTATCAAGGAATCCTTAAGAACTTAAGATTCTCAAACCTTGAGAATACCAAGGATGCCAGCCTGGGTGACTGGTAGGATGGTGATGCTTTCATTGGTAATAGGATAGTTTGGAAAAGGGGGAGAGGAGATAATGAGTTATGTTTATAACATGTTGAGTTTGAAATGCCTATGAGACATCCAGTTCAAGAAATCTAAGAAGCAGTTAGAGATTCATGACTGTAACTCAGGAGAGAGATTATGTGCTAGAGATAGAGATATGAGTCCTCTGCATCGAAATAGTAATTGAAACCGTGGGAGCTGATAAAATCCCTAAGAGTGATAGTATAGAGTGAAAGGAAAAACGGGCCTAGGATAGATAGAGTCTTGGTGGTTACCCATGATTAAAGAGTATAATATAAATAAAGAGCCAGTAAAGGAGACTGAGAAATGATCAGATAGGTAGCAGGAGAACCAAGAGTATCCCCAAAACCAGAAGAGCAAAAAGTATCCATAAAGAGATGATCTACAGTATCACATGTTGCAGCGAGGTCAAGAAGGCTGTTAGTTTTGGCATTGAAGAGATCATTGGTAACTTGGGAGTGGGAAGCTTCAGTTGAATGATAAGTAGGAAACTATGTTGCCGAGGGTTTAGAAATGAGTGAGAGAAAATGAAGTGGAGGCACCAATTGTAATGATTTTCTTAAGTTTAGTAATGAAGGTGAGGAGAGATATGGAAAGATACCTAGTGGAAATTGTGTAATCAAGTGAAGATTTTTTTTGAGAATGGCAGTGCTGTTATTTGTAGGCATCAAGGAAGGAAGTATTAGATAAGGAGAAGATGAGAGATAATAAGGGTAATAGTGGGGCAATTTGCTTCAGAGTCAGGAAGGGATGAGATCAGAAAGGAGGAAATAGTAAAGGAATATGTAGAGACAAGGAAGAGGGGAGAAGAGGGAGCTCTCAATGAATGGCCTCAATTCTTTTTTTTTTTTGGCCTTAATTCTTTCAATGACATATGAGGAAGGTCTTTGGCATTGAGGCTGTGGGGAAGGGGCAGTGCTGTAGGATGTTTGAGGAAAGAAGTTTGGAACAGCCATTGTGGAGAATGGAAAAGCAAATCTGTTAGGGAGGAATAGAATGTTTACCCAGCTGCAGTGAGAGCCCACGTGAGATCATAGAACATAAATCTGTACATTTCACAACTTCCTCCAGCTCTGTTTGAAAGGATGCAAATAGGAGAAAAGTTGACAGGTTAGTGGGGGTAATCCAGGATAGGGGTGGTCGAAATGTGATAGGTGATAAAACAGTGGAATCTAGGATGGAGGATAGTGTAGAGTTGAGTAAATTAATCAAGGTGTTGAGCTAGGGGAGGAAGAATAGTGTAGTCAGTGTAGGAAAGAACTGAGAGGTAGAGGGAATGGAAGTTATCACTAGGATGAAGAACAGGATTAGAGGATTGTAAGACATAGGGAAAGTTGGAATGATAAAAAAAAGTGAACAAATAAAGGAATTATGGAATTCATAAATAAAGAAGTTAAACACTTGTAGATGATGGCAAGGTCATATAATCTCTATTTGTGGCTGAAGTTGAATGGAGAAGATATGGATATTTTGAGATATATACTTTTGGATAGGCCTTGAGTAAACAAAATAGACGTGAAAATAGCCAACAGTTTTGTTGACTGCATAAAACTGCTCTTATGCTCCCCATTTTTCAATTAGGTATCTTGGCTTTTGTGCTAATGAAACATTACTGTATATGTACATTTCACTTGTATTTCGTCCTTTGGCACAAAGAATGTCCAGTTTTGTTTGATAAGAGGCAGGAAATCCTGCCTAGAATTAATGTTTGGAGTGTAATAAAAGGTGGAAAATGTTGAGCACACACCAAAAAAAGTACATGCTAGAAATATACCTTTGTTTAAGTTATTTTGGAACTAGAAACTTGGCAGTCCAGTATGATTTTATTAATTAACTGGACAGTAGTTTCCTAAAAGTTCAGTTTTTCTTTCACTTAAATTGTTAGGTGTGAGGGGCAGCTAGGTGGCCTACTGGATAGAGCACCAGCCCTGTATTCAGGAGGACCCGAGTTCAAATCCGGCCTCAGACACATAACACTTACTAGCTGTGTGACCCTGGGCAAGTCACTTAACCCTATTGCCTAGCCCCCCCCCCAAAAGTAGAAAAAAAATTGTTAGGTGTGACAGGCATTATTTGGGGAAAAAATAAATGCATTTGGAAAGAGGCATTTTCACATAGTGAATATGGCATTAGGTTTTCAGGTAAGGCCTAGGCTCAAATTTTGCCACTGTCGCTCAGCTATGTGCTCTGGCATAATTCAATTTAGGCTGTGCTTCAAACAGCGCCCTAGGACTTAACACAAATTCCTGTCTGCATTTTTGCTTGTTAGTCCCCATATGGACACTTTTCTCCTTTATCTCCAAAGGAAATCAAAATTCTTTTAGTCCTTGTGAAAATTAAGAAGAAATTACAGTAATACAATTAGACTGAAAATAGGCATGTTTTCTAGTAGCTGCTGGGAAGATATAAATTATTATTGGTATATTTAAAAAAAAAGAAAAGTAGTAGAAACAAAACTATGTAAATGTTGACCACATAGTTGACCAAAATTAGTTTATGTTTTAAATCAATGCTGTAGATAGTCTATCTTATAGTAATTTATTTTATAATTATCAGTTATTAAATAACCTTGTAAGAAAGGTTACATGATGTTCAAATGATTGTAGTTGTGTTTATTCACCACCAGAGTGTGCTAAAGATACTTAGCTGTAAAATTATTTCTGTGCTTAGAGCTGCCTGGACTTGTCAACATATTTAAATTTTAGAAAATAAGGATTTAGTTCCTTGTTTATTAAAGCTTATTTCAGAGAGAGAAAATTATATTCTGGAGTGGCTTAATATTTCTGAGGGTGCTATAAATCAGACATAAATTTTACTTTTTTTATTTTTGATCCACATCTCGCAACTGCTTAGACATAATGGACGTCCTTGAACAATATATTCTGTGGTTACTCTATGATTTCATCACAAATTAAAAGGTATATATTAAATTTTTGTCCTTAGTTTTATGCATAGGTGTGTCCCTGAAAATTTTATGTAAATACAGTTTTTGTGAACTGATCATTTTTTGTGAGTAGGGGAACTAAACCATTTGATGAATTCTGGTATAAAATGAAGAATCACTCCTTCCTTCCCCCTCAATTTATCCATTCCATAAGTTCCTCATTTTTATAAAAGATCTTTCGTATACTCATAAGTTAAAGAGTTGCTATTAGAGCAAATAATTGTTGTGTTTGTGAATGATTTTTAATGTGATCAGCAATAGCTACAACCTACTAGAAACATTTGGGTTCTTGGTACCATAGTCTGAATGGAATGTGAAAATAGATTCAATGGTAGATTCCATGTTTTATCATAGTTGGTTATGATCTGATACAGCTCATATAATAAGACTCCTGATCTCTGCCTATTTAATAAGCTTCTAAATTCTGCCAATCTAATAAAATACTAGAGAGAACCTGCTATAATTTTGCTTTCTCTTTTTGCCTAGGTACCTTCATTCAAATAATATAGTTGTTGTACCTGAAGGTAAGTTCCTTTGCAGTTTTGTAGTGTATACAAACTAGCATTGATTTTGCTTTGTAAAGTAGTTTTTGTTGTTGTTTTCAGAAGAAGCTTACTGCAAGAACCTGCAAAGGAGTTTACTGTAGCTTTTCTTAATACATTTTTTTCATTGTCATGTGGACTAAGTTTATTACCTTTCTATTAAAATTTCAGATACACGTAAGTGCTGTAAGTTTCCTAACTAATTACATGAGAAGAAAAAGCTAAATAGCATTTTTATTAGTAAACCTTGATCCTGAGTTCCAATCTCTCCCAATGCCAATTATTACTTAATACTTTGGTTATATTTGGTGGCTTTTAACCCTAAAGTTTCCTCATTTGTTTTAGACTTAAAAATGTAGTTTAGTCCAAATTAAATCCCAAGTACAAATAAAAGCAATATCTCAGAAAAAAAAATGACCTTTTGTATGTTTTTGTGTCTGAATTTTTACATTTCTAATTTTTATTTCTTCTCTTTGGGTTATATTTTGAGTTTGTGAGTGTTCACTTCTGTAATATTCTGTTATATCTATGGTTTTACTGTCTCACAATCAACTCAGACATAGATGTTAATACCAAAATATTTTTGATAGAATAATCCCATTAAGGTCTGAATGTGGTTAAAATTCATTTTTTATTGGTTTTGTATCATTTAAGCCATTGGTTCCCTTGTAAAGCTCCAGTGTCTGGATCTGAGTGACAATGCCTTGGAAATTGTCTGCCCAGAAATTGGTCGTCTAAGATCCTTACGTCACCTTCGATTAGCTAATAACCAACTAAAATTCTTACCTCCAGGTGAGTCACAATCTAAGACTATAGTGTTAAACTCTTAGAAATTCATTTTTGCTCATGTACTTACACACTTACACAGTTGTCCTTTTTATTTGAAGATAAAGCTTCTAAAGAGGATTGCTAAGGAATAGCACTTTTTTTCCTGAAAACATAAAGAGGTGGTTTGATATGGAACTACAAGCAGTATTCATGAAGTTTTATGTTTTGTTTCTCTTCCTTTTAGGTGCACTATTCTTAGAAAATCTTTGTGTAGAAAAAAGCTACCCCATTCATTCCTGACTTTACACATGGGTGGCTTTGCAAAAATTATTTATCATGATTTTAATAAGATAGAACAAGGTGGCATTTTCTTCCATTAACATGTTGAGAAATTGATTAAGTTAAAAAATAGTGCCAAGTGTTTGTGTATATTACCCCATCCCACACACATACATATATATACACATATATGTATGTGTGTATGTAGGTGCTTAATAAATGTTTTCTTAATTGTGTTGAGCTGTTTGCTGATATTGACCTAACCAAATTTATATCAAGAGCTTGTGGTAAAAAGAAAAATAAAAATTGGAGTTAATAGTGATGTTTACTGAGCATTTGATTAAGTCATGTAACATCTCTATAAAGTGCTAAAATCCAAGATTATTTGTAGAAGTATTTCTTCATAATATTTTCAAACACCTTCAAAAGATGATTCAAATGCACAACTATAAAAGTTGTCCAGACATTTTAAGAAAATGGCTAGCCTTTGTCTAAACATAAAATCTTTTTATAATAGCTATAGTATCATTTTAATAATAAATCCCTTTTAAAGAAATTAATTTCAAACCCCTACTTGATTGCCTATTAAAAATCAACACAATAAATAAAAGTCTACTACAAAATAGGAATTTGGACAGTCCTTTCATATTTAGCATGAAATTTAATCATAACTAAATTTTATCATATATGGTATCTAGGAATCCAATAAAGTGCATTTGTTTTTAAATATTATGGAAAAGTCAATATTTTAAACCTTTAAGGGAGATATTCATAACAATTAATGTGAAATTTAGCCAAGATAGCAATTTATAGGTTTAGAATGCATGTGATACTGTTTTTCGAGGTTAGAGGTACAACTCCAAGATCTCTAACTTTTTATTAATAATAAATTCTTATTTAAATAAATTGGTTTGCTTAAGACATTTTCCCTTGCCTTCTAAATATACATCTATATTGTTTTCTGTCTCCTATCCCCTTTTTTGCTTGTTTCCAAAAAGGGACATTCAGAATAGAATATATTATTTGATGTTTCTATGCTAACCCATGTTTTTGGAGGCTTTTATTCCTGTATGTTAAATTATTTTGACTATATTTTTTCTATCAAATGCTATTTTTAAAGTGATATATTAAAAAATACATTGTATATTTTGGAAATTTTTTTTCTTTTGATTTATTCAACCACAGTGTTGGAATTTGAACTTTGGCTTCATAAAGGATTTGTGTTTACTTAGAATTTTAAGTGTATTTGACACTTAAGTTAAAAATAATAAGGTAACTAGTCTTGTGAATAAGTCCTTTTAACACATTCTCAGCATGCTAGTCTTTTTTTCTCTTATTTTGTTGAGCAACCTTGAAATGACAACAGGATGACACTGTTTTAAATTATGCTTAGATCCTCTTCTACTCTCAGCCTACCCACTCTTTCTTGGTAGTCTCATTAGCTGCTATGGGTTAAATTTTCATCTCTGTATAGGTGACTCTAAAATCAATCTGTCCATCCCTGTTGTTCTTGTAAGCTTCCATCCTTTTTTTCCAAGACCTACTGCACATCATTACCTCCATGTACCATTGCTATCTCAAACTCAACATATCCAAAATGAAGCAGTCTCCTAAACCCATCTCTCCTCCAAACTAAGCTACTTGCTTAACTCTTTCATATTCATTCCCTTCTTGCCATTCACTTGGCCATGACTCTTATTCAGACTTTTATCACCCCTTGTATAGAACTGACTGTCTCCAAACTTTTTTGATTTCTCACTCATCAATAAAAAATTTTTGAGCTCATATGTCTAAGTTTATTTATAAATTATGTATGTATTGTATTATACCAGTACTCACATGCCTTATAAAACTTAGGCAAGAAAATAGAAATTTTAAAAGGATGAAATAAAAATAAAATAATTTTTGGTCCTAAAGTCAGTCAGGTAGCACTGATGCTTATTGGGTGGGGTAGTGACTTGGTCAGACCTGTATTTTAGGAAAATCATTTTTGTATCTCTGTGGATAATGAATTAAAAAGCAAGTGAGACTTAAAACAGGGAAACCAAATATGAGGCTATTGCAGTGGTTCAGAAAGGAAATATAAGATCTTGAACTGAGGTGATGGCAGTATAAATAAAGAAAAGGCAACAGAGAGGAGTGATATGAGGTAGGAACCAAGATTTGGCAACTGATTTTATACATATATATATATAGATATATACACACACATATATATATGTATATATATACATATATATGTATATATGGTATAAGGAAGAGTGGGAAATCATGGATGATAGTGAGATTTTGAACTGTGGTGACTGGAAGAATGGTGATACTCTTGACAGTAATAGTTTATCTTGAAAGAAAGGTAAATTTTGTGGGAATGATAATATAATTAGATCTGTAATCTCTCACAAACCATCTATTTTCCTGTAGTACTCCTACAGTCCCACTCAAAATGAAAATGCCCTCCCCTTATAATAACTCTTAATCACAGTCACTGTCCCAGAGTCATGCTGAGCTGAGAACCTGGGAGATTGAGAGCTTGCACAGGGAGAAAAGGGTTAGAGGGGAAAAAAGTCGGTGTGCTTGTATTGATGACAAGTCCTACAGTTGGCTGTTGTGGCAAAGGTTGGTTGTAGCCCATCTTTCCACTTTCTTGCTTAGTTAATCGTAAGCCCTTTGGTGTGTGGCCATTGCTCCCCAGATCATGGATATTCATCGCACGCTACTTTATAGCTAACCTGGCCTGCTAGCTGTTTTCCAAAATAAGCATTCCATTCCCCATCTCTGTAAGCTTACACAGATAGTCACCTTTTTCTTCCCCCAACTTGGAATGTAATTCCACTTTATCTTTGTGTCTTAGAGTCTCTAGCTTTTATAAAGTTTATTACCTTCTACAAGAAATCTTTCCTAATCTTTCCAGTTATTAGTGCTTCATCCCTGCTGAAATGACCTTCTGTTTATCTCTATAATTTTTTTCCCTCAATAGAATGTAAGCACCTTGAAATCAAGATGTGTTTTGGGATTTTCCCCCATGCCTAGCACTCTGCTTTGTATCATAGTAGGCTTTTAATAAATGCTTGTTCAATTGAATTGGGTTATATAATAAGATAAATGTATGTTGAGGTCATAGAATTTTAATCAGTTTTCTGAAATATTAGACTCAATAGAAAAAAATTAATAGACAATATACTGTACTCAACTATTTTTTATTTTTTAAGAATATGAAAGGCGAAATGGTGGTGTTAGTGATACTTTGAGTGTAAATGCAATCATTTTACTTCATATAATTAGGTAGAGTAGATTTCCTGTAATAGATTAAGTTTCAAATGGAAGATGTAAGTTTTATATTGGATTTTGACCAAATAATCATGATGGATTTAAAAGTAAGGGATATTCTAGGCATAGAGATGACATATAAAAGAAGGTACAATTAGTGAGAATGAGAGAAATAAATAAAAATGCTCAAATGGTATTTTATTTGACTAAAGTGAAGAAACAGATTAATTTCAATTTGTTGTATGTGATATTTTTAAGAAATGAAGTGACATGTTAAAGTCAAATTTTTGCATACTATATTTATAGAGGGAAGAACATTGCATTGATAATAAAATTTCAATCTTCATATTTCAATTTTCCTGTTTCTAATGTAGTGCTTATATGACTTAACAGAGTGTTTAAAATTAATTTCAGATTTCATTGTCAGCCCACATATTTGTAGACTGGTAGATAACTTTGTCCCTCTCAAGTTTTGTCTTAGCTATATAATTAAATGAGGGCATAAATAATTAAGCTTAGACAATGTAAGTTTTTTCATCATTGCTTGACTTTATTTTACATTTTGAATCACTTAAAAATTCAAAGATTATTATTGGTGATGTTCATAGGATATGGAAGGATCTAAAGATATCACATGGCTAGTTAGTGACTAAGTGATAGAATCATAGAATTTTTGAGACCATCTAGTCTAACCTTTTCACTTTCCAAAGGAAGAAATTGAGATCAGGGAGGTTGAGGTGCATCTTTGCATTGTTCTTTGCTCCATCTGATTATTCTATTTATCAAATAAATTTTCTCTCTCTTATATCTCTTCTTTGCATCTTTTTAGTTAATTGGATTTCTCTTAATTATCTTTTGTAATGTCTTGAGAGTCAGAAAACTTAGGTTCCAGTCTTTACTCTGTTACTTCCTAGCTATATGACTCTGAGTCACTTAACTTCTCAAGACTCAGTTTTCTCACCAGTAAAATTGAGATAACAATCTTTGTACTATCTATCTCACAGACTTTGAGTAGAGTAAGTACTTTGTAAACCTCAAAGTGCTATAGAAATGTGATATGACAATTATATGACTTTATTTCTTCATTTTAACAAACGTTGTTGTTGAGTCGTTTCAGTTGTGTCTGATTCTTCATGACCCCATTTGGGGTTTTCCTGGCAAAGTACCTGGAGTGGTTTGTCATTTTTTTTCTCCAGCTCATTTTACAGATGAGGAATTGAAGCAAATAGGGTTAGATGACTTGCCCAGGGTCCCACAGCTACTAAGTGTCAGGCCAGATTTGAACGCAGGAAGATGAAAATGAATCTTTGTAACTCCAGGCCTGGCACTCTATCCATTGCGCCACCTAGCTGCCCTTTCAGCAAACATTAACGGAGCATTATTGTCTAAGACACTGCTAACTAGGAATACAAAGGCAAGGTCGGCCTGGCAGTAAGGAGCCTAGCGTGGAGTTCAATTCCAGGTTACCTGATTTTAAA